GGTGGGAGAGCGAAGTCGGAATTCCGACCTTGGTGGGAGAGCGAAGTCGGAATTCCGACCTCGGTGGGAGAGCGAAGTCGGAATTCCGACCTTGGGTGGCGCGGGCTCGGCCAGGCAGGAACGTGGCGCGGCTCGGCAAACTTGAAACTTGTCTTAGAAGTCCAGACACCCCCCTGAGACACTTGAGACACTTGAGACACTCAAGACTTGTCTCAGGAGTCCAGACACCCCCCTGAGACACTTGAGACGCTTGAGACACTGCTCAATTGTCGCAAGTGTCTCAGCTGTCTCAGGTGTCTCAACAGCCTTGAGCTCTGCCCAAGCCCTGGATCAGTGTCATGCGTCAGGGTGGCTCAATTGTCTCAAGAGTTCCGCCCTATTTTTTCCAACTTCGGGCGGCGCGGGCTTGGCAGGCTGGAGGCTTCGCTGTTGAGTCAGTATTTGAGTCATCTTGAGTCAACAATGCATCAATATTGAGTCATTTTTGAGTCATCTTGAGTCAACAACGCGTCAACACTGACTGGTCCACCTCTCTCTTTGGAGGGGGTTTCCCAAATGGATTCTATTCTGTCTGACAGGCTCCTAGCACTCGTCTGTCCAGGAAAAGGCGGGGCCTGCCCTGCACACCGTGCAAGTGACAGGCTCAGCCGCTGTCCAGCAGTGGAAGCGACACCGGGCTGAGTTGGCACAGGACCTGGAGACCATGCCAGACTGGGCGCCGGACGCAGAGTCGGGTGACTTCATCGGAATGAATGATGAGATGACAAAAAGATCTGAGGAAGCTGTCCTCGATGAGCCATCATCAGAAGCATCAATGCGCTTCCAGCCCTGTACGGATGACCTTATTGCGGCAGAGCAGGACAGACATTGTGTCATCCGGCAGGAGGAGGAGCGACTGCGATCGCAAGCTGTCATTGAGTCTGATTTGATTGACATCACACGCTGGCAGGTGCCATTGGTGCAACTGTCGACGCGGCCGGTGCCAGCAAGGAAAACCTTTGAGCACCAATTGAATCGTCAAACGTTTTGCGTGCTGTTACAATTGGTGCGAGTGCTATTCGCAGTGCTCAACCATGGATTGAGGCAGGATGGCGTTGACTGTTCTGAGGCCGCCCTCCAAGATTTCAGCGCCTTCAAAACGGCCAGGAGAACCGTGCAAGTGTGGCAGAACGCTGCGCGCAGGCGTGTGGCTGCAATATAACGACCCCGAGATATGCGCCGCAATTTGGCTCCAGGTTGCATTTCAAGCAGCTTTGCTAAAGGAAACCCCTTTTCCCTTTTTTTTTGGGACCCCCTTTTTTTTGGGACCCCTTGTTTTCTTTTTTTCCCGAAAGCATGGCGAAGGGTTCTTCCGCTGGGTTCACTTGAATTGTTCTCATGAGAGTCATTACAAGGTGTCATTGCAAGGAATCATCATCATGAAAGTCAATGCAAGGAGTCATTGCAAGGAGTCATTGCAAGGAGTCATTGCAAGGAGTCATGGCAAGGATTGCAACTTGCTCTTGACTCCTTGCACTTGCAACTTGCACTTGACTCCTTGCACTTGCAACTTGACTCCATGCACTTGCAACTTGCACTTGACTCCATGCACTTGGCTCCTTGCCCTTGGCTCCTTGCACTTGGCTCCTTGCACTTGCAACTTGCACTTAACTCCGCGCACTTGCGACTTGCACTTGACTCCATGCACTTGGCTCCTTGCAACTTGCAATGGACTCCTTGCAATGACTCCTTGCAATGACTCCTTGCAATGACTCCTTGCAATGACTCCTTGCAATGACTCCTTGCAATGACTCCTTGCCATGACTCCTTGCAATGACTCCTTGCAATGACTCCTTGCAATGACTGCTTGCAATGACTCCTTGAAACAAGCAAGGAGTCAAGTGCAAGTTGCAAGTGCAAGGAGTCAAGTGCAACTGACTTGCGAGGAGTTAAAATCTCTTCTTAGGGCGGCGGGGTAGTGCCGACGACACTACACGAAAATCGACCCTCTGCGGGGATCGGCGTGGTCGAGGTGCAAAAACACATGGTTTTTTGCGATTTCTATCCCTCTGCAAAAACCCATGGTTTTTTGCGATTTCTAACCTGCTCGCGCGACCCTCTGCGGGGATCGGCGTTGTCGAGGTGCAAAAACCCATGGTTTTTTGCGATTTCTAACCTGCTCGCGCGACTCTCTGCGGGGATCGGCGTGGTCGAGGTGCAAAAACCCATGGTTTTTGCGATTTCTGCGGTGCTCGCGCAACCCTCTGCGGGAATCGGCGTGGTCGAGGTGCAAAAACCCATGGTTTTTTGCGATTTCTATCCTGCTCGCGCGACCCTCTGCGGGGATCGGCGTGGTCGAGGTGCAAAAACCCATGGTTTTTTTTTGCGATTTCTGCGGTGCTCGCGCAAAGGGAGTTGTCTCGTGGTTCGCGCGCCTGCTCCCGGAACCTGCGGGTCGCGGGTTCGATTCCTCCCTGGTCCGCGGGCGGGCGTCGCAAGATGCAACTTGCATTTTACAGCAACTTGCGCAGAGCAACTTGCGCAGAGCAAGTTGCACAGAGCAACTTGCGCAGACCAACTTGCACCGACCAGTTTGCGCAGAGCGCCTTGCCTAGAGCAACTTGCGCAGAGCAACTTACGCAGAGCAACTTGCGCAGAGCAACTTGCACAGAGCAGCTTGCGCAGAGCAACTTGCAGGGAGCGCAATTTGCACAGAGCAACTTGCAGGGATGCTAATAGTTGCATGTACCGTTTACCTCAGCTTGGTGGTAACACTCGGATGTGTGGAACATCAGACTTGTACACTTCATGTCACGACATGTACAGTAGTTGTCTCTTTAGTTGTGAATAGTTGAATCGTGATCGCAAGGCGTTCTGGGTCAAAAGTTTCGCATGGTAGCGGAGCGTTAGATCCGCGCAATGGCACGTTGAGCTGGTTGGTTCTGCTGTGGTGTTTGTCACCTTTACAGTATAGCCCTTAGCTGGCAATCTACGTTCAGATGGATGGAAATGGTTTGAATCCGGGAAGCCCTGCACAGGGATCAGCGCAGGGTGGAGTAGGCCAAGTGCAGCAGGACATGTTGGCCATGATGGCACAGATGAGGGACGCGGTGGCGTACGCGGCCCAGGCAGCGCAGACAAGTTCTCAGGCGTTGCAAGAATTCAGATCTTCAATGGCCACCACAGAGCAGAGTTCGGGACTTAAGGGTGCAGACCTCAGTCGCATCTTGTCCAGACCAGACAAGTTCGCAGCAGCAAATCGAGAAGAGGAGCTCAGTTCATGGCGTTCTTGGAGCTGGACAGTTGAGCAATATTTGGCAGCCCTGGACCCTGGGTTTAGTTCAGATTTGGAAGCAATGCGTGCTAACCGAGAGGCTGAATTGTTGATTGCCGACATGGAGGCATCAACACGAGTTCGCAGTCACCAGCTGTATGCTATTTTGTCTTCTATTTTGAATGACAGATGCAAAGCAGTTTTGAGATCCATTGGTCAGAACAATGGATATGAAGCTTGGCGTGTTTTGGAGAATGACATGGCCCCAGCTTCACGAGCACGCCATCTTGCAATCTTGAATGCAATTGCTATGTATAGCAACTTCAACATGCGTGTATCGCTTGCTCAACAGGTTTTGAAGCTTGAAGAGTTGTTCGAGGAGTATAGACGCGTTTCTGGTACAGCCATGAATCAGGATTTGCAAATGTCCACTTTGCTTCGTGTGGTTGGTGGCCAACTCAAACAGTACCTCAATGTCAGTTTGACTGAAACCAGTACATACAATGATTTGAGAACCATGATTTTGAGATGGGACGCTGCTCAGACTCGCTGGCAGCAACCTATTGCAAATTCCTTTGGAGCAGACAAAGGTGAAACGGATGCAGGAGGCCCAGCCCCCATGGACATCGACCGCGTCAAAGGTGATGGAAAGGGCAAGAAGGGCAAAGGCAAAGGCAAGAACAGCAAAGGCTCCAAAGGAAAGGGAAAAGGAGATTCTTCGAAAGGATTTGGCAAGAATGGAAAAAGCAAAGGAAAGCATGACAACTCTGGAGGTAAAGGGAAGCAAGAACATCATGCAGGCGGCGGCAACAACAAGCTGGATCAGAACACCTGTTCCTATTGTTTTAAGCCAGGCCATTGGAAGCGTGAATGCAGGAAGCTTCAGTATGACAAAGCAATTGGTTCAGTTCGGCGTGCAGATGAAGTTCCGAATGATTTTCAACAGCAAGTTTTTGAGTCTCGCGCGCCATCTACATTTCCAGCAGTCAGTTCCATGGCCCCTTCCAACGTGAGTTCATCGAGCACCACATTCAAGAGCCCGGCACCCACCATTCGCAGACTTGACAGCATTCCACGTGTTGACCTTTCTCAAGACACACGGCCATTTGATTTGACCATTTACGACATGTCGGACAACAGTAGCCATGAGGGTTCTGTTCGCATGATCAAGCATGACAAGGAACCTGATTTGTTGGTTGATAGCATTTGCGCATGTCTCGATGTATGCGAATGTGCGGAACTACCTCATCCCGGCTATTCTGCATTTTCTGGCCGCGAGCTTATTGGTAAGTGCCCAGTGTTCGACATGGCAGTTTCAGATGCAGATGGGTTGTGGACTTTTCCTGACAGCATGAGCTTGAGTGAATTCGCAGACGGCGAGCAGGCTGACGTGCGAATGGTAGCCAGTGAAGCACCTTTTGAAATCATTCTAGATTCAGGAGCTGACATCTCAGTCTTGCCCATTGGATGGGAAGGATGTGGTCAGCCCCGTGATTTGGCAAACATGAGGTTTCGGGATGCGCAGGGAAATCCAATTTCGATGTCTGCTTGCAGAGATGCAATAGTTTCATTGGGAAGCAGTGTTTTCAGAGAAACCTTCGCCGTGGGACCAGTCACAGCACCGCTGATTGCGCTGGGAAAGCTCATCAAGGCAGGATGGAGTTTGCAGCAGGGTGCAAATGGTTTGGTTCTTGCAAAGGACAACGATCAGATTCCACTGCATTACAAGCGTAACAGTTTGTGCACCATGGGATACATTCGTGCAATTTCGCAAGATGAAGCAGTCAGTTCCTCTGTGCCCCCGAGCGGCAGTGTGCAGTTGGACTTCGAGGTGCTGCAGCGTGTGGAGCTCTCAGAACAGTTGCAACAAGTCAGTGCAGGCTGGATTGAAGTTTTCAAGGACTGTTTTGCGGTAAAGTGCACCTCAGATGTTTACCTTGACATCACATCTTGTCTACCTGAGAAAGGCTGCAGATTCAGGACCACAATGATCCTGGATAATGGTGTCTGGGAGTTGGTTGAATTCGGACAGGACATATCAGCTTGCGATGCAGTCCGGGCCGATTCCAGCTATAGAAGAGCCAGTGGAAGTTCCCACCTTGGCTCATGTGTATCGTCGCAAGCCAGAGCAGTTTGGATTGAAGGTCATCTTCGATGAAGATGAGCCTCCAGCAGTTGCAAGTTCAAGTAAGCCAGATGTAGTTGTTGAAGATGTTGCAGTTGAAGAGAAGCAGCAGCATGAATTCAGCAGACTTTCTCCTGAAGCAGAAGTGTCTCAACATGACAGGCCACGCTCCGAGGTGGCCGATCACGTCACGGTGGATGGTTCAACAGTGAAAGCCTTACGAGAGGCTTGTGGCAAATGCAGTATTGGACAATCGGGAGGCAAGAAAGTGCTTTTCAATCGGTTGGCCCATCATGTGCAGGCAATGGACAGCTTGCAATCTCAGCAGTTGGCAAAGCGTTTGCGTGAAGATGATGAGAGAGTTGCAAATCAAGTTGCTCCAGTGAAGGAACCCACTCCTGAGCAACGGCGAGCTCATGCAGTGACGCATCTGCCTTATGAGCCCTGGTGCAAGCACTGTGTCGCCCACAAAGCTCGGAGTGACAAGCATCACAAATCAACAGGCCTATCGCGAGGGACCCCTGGTTTGTCCATGGATTTTTCTTTTACCAGCAGAGACGAAGGAAGCTCTGAGAAGCTTACAGTTCTTAACCTTTGCGACAGGGACACCAAGCTCGTAGATGCAATCCCGGTCACAAACAAAGGTGGAGTTGCTGCGGTAAATTACATGGTTGCAGAGATTTGCAGATTCAGCAATTTGCTTGGGCATGGAGAGATCAGTCTCAGATCAGATGGAGAACCTGCAATGCAGCATTTGCAGAACAAAGTTCAGGAAGCTCGGTTGAAGATGAATTTGAAGACCAAGCCCGAGCTGACAGAGACGGGAGACCGCAAGAGCAATGGTCGCGCCGAGCAGACATGCCAGTCCATTCGACAGATGGCTGGAGTTTTGCTTGAAGATTACGAAGATAAGGTGAAGAAGCACGTGACTACAGCACATCCTCTTCATTCTTGGAGTTTTCGGCACGCAGCATGGCTTTTGAATCGGTTCAATCCTCAGCAAGGGATGACTCCATTTGAGAGACTGCACCAATCTGCCTACACAGGCAAGCTGGTTTGCTTCGGCGAGACGATCATGGCCCGAGTGAAGAGTTCTACAAAAGGGAAGCCGGCTTGGGTGAAGGCATTGTGGCTTGGCAAGCTAGCAATATCAGATATGCACGTTGTGTGCACTAGCGGAAGCCAGTTGATCTTGACGAGATGTGTTCGGCGCTTACGAGATTCAGAGCGCTGGGATGCATCTATGCATGACTGTTTGCGAGATCATTCATGGGAGCATCCTGGTTTGACGGCAGGACACTGTGCATATGCTAAGCGAGCAAGATCGGCAACACAAGTGGATCAGCAATTTCATTTTCCTGTTTTGGAGGATGGTGCGCCTTTATCAGCTTTGCTTCCAACAGGCCAGATCGTGGAATCAGGCGTCGCGAACGACGAGGCAGCATCGGACCCGCCAACATCACCAACCGATGATCCTCAGAGAGAAGACTCTGTGACTCCATCGGAGATGCCACCTGACACAGCATCCCCGAATTTTGCAGCTGACGAAGCTATGGAGGCAAGCAGAGAAGCCAATCCCGGAGATAGACCAGCGGTTGAACCAGACGAGGAGAGACCTGCAAAGCTGGCCAAGGTGGAATCGCCAAAGCGTCAAAGGCTGGCAAGCGCACCGAGTTTTGCAGGTGACATTAAGGCTGTGGAGTTTTCTGTGGAGCATGACGACATGCCACACATGGACGAGCCTCTTGAATGTCACTTCACGGAAGAGGAGGCAGATCAGTTTGAGCAGTACTGGGATTACACTTGCAATGAGCAGCTTGTTGACGAGTACGAGCAGTTTTTCAGTCCTGAAAGCATGCTTGATGCAGTTGACGAGCACTCGAAGAATTCTTTTCAGCGAGTGGATGCGAGTGTCTTGTATTTTCCTGGTACGGACAAAGAACCTCAGTTGGACGAGCAGAGACTGGCAGAACTCGACACAATAGCAGAGATGGTCGAGATTCAAAGGCTCACAGATATGGGTGTCTTGCGACAAGTGGAAGACTCTGAGTATGGGAAATTGCAGACATCCCATAGGAGCCTAAACACGCGCTTTGTGCATACTTGGCGCTTCAAGCGGGTGAATGAAGAAGGCAAGTGGCTTCGGCGAGCGCGGCTTGTGGCGAAGGAGTTCAAGCATTTGGACAAGGAGAGATTGGGACTTTTTGCACCTTCCAGCAGTGCAATCATGTGCAGAGTTGTGCAATCCTTGTACACCCACCATCGCCAGAGCAAAGGTTGGATCATGTGTTCCTTTGACGTGCATGACGCTTATTTGACCGTGGATCAAAAGAAGCCGACCATCATCAGCACAATCCTTTCAGGTGAAATGTTTACTCATGAGTTATTGAAATGTGTCCCCGGGCAACGAGATGGAGCAGTACTTTGGTTTGATAGTTTTTCAGATCGCTTGAAGGAAATAGCAGATGTTCAGACATGTCCTGAGGTACCCGCATTTTTCAGAATCAGGTCGTTTGATGGAAGTTCCAATTTCATGATTATGCTTGTGCATGTGGATGACTGTCTGCTGACGGGATCACCAAAGGATATCAACGACTTGGTTACCACGCTCAGAGCTAAGTTTCAGCTCACGGTTGAATACTTGCGGGGCCCAGGCGATGAGATTTCATTCTTGAAGCGCAGGCATGTGCTCTTGGATGATTACACATTGGTCATTCAGCCCCCTTTGAAGCATTTTCAGCATTTGGTCGAACTGGTTGGTTTGAATGTGGATGTTTTCAGACCTCGCAAAACGCCCATGCCAGTAGGTGTCAATTATGTGGAGCAGGACAAAACCTTGGTCGATGCAGAAAGAGGAACCGCCTATCGCTCAGCAGTAGGTTTGCTTTTGTATCTTTCACCAGACACTGTTGAAAGTCAGCATTGCATCAGAATATTGAGTCAGTACATGACAGCACCGACAGAAGGTTCATTCAAGTTGTTGAAGCATTTGATTTCGTATCTCTGGGGCGCACGCGGGCATGCCATTGGGTTTTCTACCCCTTCTTTTGGAAAGGGCATCATCACGGAGTCAGCAAAGCCTTATCTGCTTGAAGCTGTAAGCGACGCTGATTGGTCTGGAGATCGCGAATCCAGACGATCTTCATCGTCAGGAACCATTTTGTTGAACGGACAGCTTTTGTATTCGAGCTCTCGCGTGCAGAAAGCAGTTGCTCTTTCATCTGGAGAGAGTGAATTTTATGCCTCAGTGAGCACAGCCTCAGACGCCCTGATGCTTAAGGCAATGATTTCATTTGCTATTGACAGCAATCGTGATGTGGAGCTGAAGCTCATCGGCGACAGCGCCGCGGCAAGGGGCATACAGAGCAGGCGGGGCTGTGGCAAAGTTAGACATTTGTCTGGCAAGTATTTGTGGTTGCAAGAAAAGGTCAAAGATGGTACCATCAGCCTTGGGGTTGTTGGCACTAAGTGGAACACGGCAGACCTCGGCACAAAGGCTCTTAGCCGACAAAGAATCCGTTTACTTTTGAGTTTGCTGGACACACGAGATGAGCTGGCAGACTGCGCAGTTGTGGGATCAGATGAATTTGATGAGGAGTGCATGCGGCATCGCTTGAAAGGTGTCATCAGGCGTGTCAGCCAGGAGCTTTGTGCGCCTGAGACGTCATCTCAGAGAATGAAGCAGGCCAAGCGGTTGGTGAAGCTAGGCCTTTTGCAATCGGCAGCCGTTGGAGCTGCTGGCACCGAGAACGTGTTGAGCCTGGAGCCCAACACGACAGCGCAGTTGACAGATGAGTATCTTTTCCATGATGTGCTATTCGTTTGCAGTGCTTGTGTTGTGCTTGGATTTTCCATTTTCGGTATGTACACCTTCGCAGTGGCAGTGTGGAGCAAATTTTCGGCAAAGAGACGCCCTTTGGAAAGTGATCAAGGAGCAGATTTCGAGCTTGCGCCTATCCATGAAGGCAGTGAGAGCAAACAGGCATCACTGAGTGCCAGTACTTTCCTTGGCAGAAGCAATGTGAAGGAGTGCCATGTGTTCGTTACGAATCACGGCAAGCACTACCACAAGTCCAATTGCAAGTGGATTGCAAACAGGTCGACATCCAGATTGCTTGAATCCGAAGCAGTTGGATTACATCTTAAGAAGTGCCACACCTGTCATCAGCATAGCAGTGCAGTGCAATTGCGTGGCAGATCGAGCAGGATTTCAGAGAACTCTGGATCTTCAAGTGCAAATGATGTGGCATGAGAGAAATGGAATCCGGTTTGCTATATGGATGGCAGCCTAGAGTTTCACATTTTTGCTTGCTGGTGCCGTATGTGCATAGGCATGCAGATTAGATCAGATGAATCTTTCGAGCACCTTCAGATTAATCTGAGGCGGGGTGCTAATAGTTGCATGTACCGTTTACCTCAGCTTGGTGGTAACACTCGGATGTGTGGAACATCAGACTTGTACACTTCATGTCACGACATGTACAGTAGTTGTCTCTTTAGTTGTGAATAGTTGAATCGTGATCGCAAGGCGTTCTGGGTCAAAAGTTTCGCAAGGGGCCAACTTGCCGGAGCAACTTGCGCGGAGCAACTTGCGCAGAGCAACTTGCGCAGTGCAACTTGCGTAGAGCAACTTGCGCAGACCAACTTGCACCGACCAGTTTGCGCAGAGCACCTTGCCTGGTGCTCTCGCGCTTGCTTCACGAAGTGTAGGGAAAAAGAACGCATCCTGCAGCGTTGGGCCGACCTCGCTTGCGATGTTCTGCTTTCGGGCCAACCGTGGTCTAGTTTTTTGTTTTTTCTTAGCCCTGCAAAGGTTGGCTCGCTTGAAATGCAACCTGGAGCCAAATTGCAAGCGTATCTTGGGGTCGTTATATTGCAGCCGCGCGCCTGCGCAGCGTTTTAGGTTTCGAATCCTTCGCAGGACGAGGTCGTTTCCTGGACGGACGAGTGCTAGGAGCCTGTCAGATAGGATAGAATCCATTTGGGAAACCCCCTCTAAAGAGAGAGGAAGGGGAGGAGGGAGAGGAAGGCCGTGAACCCGTCAATCTTGTCAGGCAGTGTCAGGTATCAGTTTCACGTGAATTCGTGAAAATCCGAAGGATGCAACACACGCGAATTGGACCCAACACACGTGAATTCGTGAAAATCCGAAGGACCCAATACACGTGAATTCGTGAAAATCCAAAGGACCCAATACACGTGAATTCGTGAAAATCCGAAGGACCCAATACATGTGAGTTCGTGAAAATCCGAAGCACCCAACACAATTCGTGAATCTTGTCAGGCAGCAGTTTCACGTGAACCCGTGAGTCTTGTCAGGCAGCAGTTTCGTGGGCAGTTACTTAGGGTCTTGGTGTTGTCATGCGTGTGTTGGGTCCATCGGATTTTCACGAATTCACGTGTATTGGGTGCTTCGGATTTTCACGAATTCACGTGTATTGGGTCCTTCGGATTTTCACGAATTCACGTGAGAGCGCCTCCACTCGCCGATGGGCTGCCTCGCCTCCAGCAGTCCAACCACACGCCGCGCCTGGCCTGTGTCCCGTGACTCTGCTCCAATCTAGCCAAGCTCGCCGAGCTCTCAAGTTCCCCATGTCCAGCACGGCCGGGAGCTGCCGGAAGTCGCCCACCAGCAGAAACAGCACGTTGTGGTTCAGGGACACGCGCGCGATACTACCTTGCCGCTCCCACAGCTTGGTCACGATGATCCGCGCCCGGTGCGTCTTGCTTGTGCAGCCCGGTCACAGGAGCGAGCGGCCGGCCAGGCAGTGCGCCACAGGGTCGGCCACGTTCGTCCAGCCAGCGGCCCTGGCGGCTCCGCCTGCATGCAGGGCGGCGTTGCAGCGGCTTCGTCTTCTCGTGGCGGAATTTGGGCTTACCGTCTGGGTACGTGTTGTGGACGAGCCGCTCCAGGTTGTCTCGGAACTTCCGCGGCATGCCCTGCAGCACCACGATGTACTCTGGCGGAAGGCCCAGTTCCCGTCGGTGCGTGCCACCATCGTCGTGTTGAAGCCAAGCACACAGTCGTGGATGGGGCGCAGCGTCCCGTTGTCGGGCGGCGATGAAGTTCCACACGTACCGGCCTGCTTGGTGTCGGCCCCTGTCGCGTCCAGCTCGTTGCTGCTGCTGCGCAGCGTGTACGCCTTGTTGCTGTCGTGTGCCACGAGCCCGATCATCGAGTTCACTGCGAGCTTTGCCATATGTTCTTCGCCCTCGGGCCAGGCCTGCTCCATGACGTCCAGCGCCGGCGCCAGGCGCTCCGCGGTGACGTGGCTGGCCACGTCCATCGTGTGAGCACGTCGGACCACTGCGCCACGCCGCTGCGCAGCATGTAGTCCACCAAGACCTTGGGTACCAGCCCGGCCCCACGTCGGGCAGCAGCGTCACGGGGTCCACAAACAAGAGGTCTGCGAGGTGCCCGGGCCGCGCCGGCTCAGCGGGAACGGTGCGTTGGCCAGCCCGTTCCTGCAGCGCACCACGTCCACGCCTTTCGAGCGGTCCGGTGCCCCGCGCCTGGAATACTAACGGAGGCTGCTTGGGAGAGCGTACGTACGCGTCGTAGACCAAGCGCGTAGCGACGTGGGCTGCGTGCTTTCGGTCTGGGTCTTCATTTGGAAAGCAGAGCGCCTGGACTTGGCCCATGCCTGCAACAGCTCCCAGTCCTCGGGCAGCTCACGGATCACGCGCTGCCCGCCCTTGGCGCGCAGCTTCAGGCTCAAGAACTGCGCGAGCGAGCGGAGCGTGACTTGCGGGTTGTGCTCCGGGAGCAGCAGCTGCCGCAGGTCCGTCGTGTGGAAGTGACCTGGCTTGATCTCGCCCTGCCACGGGCTCCAGTCCTCCAGCAGCGGCGGCACTGATGAGCGCTGGGATGTGTGCTACGTGCTGCGAGCGCTTGTTCTTGAAGAACCGCCTCGGCCTTATCCCACCCGGCCCCTCCAGACCGATGCTTGCGCCTTTCTTCGCGCATTGCTTTTGACCCAGCTCCGCGGCGCAACCACGCATCGTTTTCAAGGCACACCGGAAACTATCCAGTGCCTTGTTCTCACACCTCCAGGCAGCTCAAACCTGGAGTCCCGGCGAGCTGTCCTGCACATGTACCGACCTCGCCAAGCGACACCCATCCCCACCTTCTTTTTTCCGGCTCCGACACTCATGAGTTGTTCGACCCCGACATAGTCAGCATGCTTTCTGGTTCGATGCGAAACTCCTTCTTTCCTCCACGCGGGGTCTTGATGAATCGTCTGACTCAGGCGTTTCAGATTCACCACTGGGCCAGGACCAACAACCTGCCCTCGCTCGATCCATCAACCCTTTCCACTCTTGTCGATTTCCATTTCGACCTCCGCCGTCCTCACACACCACAGTACTTTCTACATGCTCATGTTCAACAGGCTCTAACAACCCTGGAGCCCCTTGTCCGCCATTGCGAAGATCATGCGGACTCCCGACTCATGCTCTATTGCCCCGCTGTGTACGGCAAGATGCTGGACGCCACATTCACGGATCCTGCCATCTTTGCTCTTTTGCGAGTCCCCTCCATTGAGATCCATCAACGGCAACGAGAAAGCATTGTCAGCAGATTCCGCGGTCGCTATCCATGGGCCGTGACCGGCTTCGGACGGCCAGCGACTGCCTACATCCTCCCCAAGAGGAAGAAGAACTGGACCACTGCTCGACCCATCATCAGCTTCGTTGGCGCCTTCTTCCGACCCATGCTTGACGCTCTCGCCAAATTGCTCCACAGCATGGTTGCCACGACCTGCCCAGACGCATTTTCGGGTGGCGACCTCTTCAATCTCATGCGGTATTTGCGTGAGTTTCTCCGCCTCGGCCACACCCCTCTGGACTGTCGAAACCAGGACCTTTCCGGTTTCTTCACTTCCATCGACAAAGACCGCTTCTTAGCAGGCTGGCGTTTACTTTTGACGTGGTACCGACAGCGGCAACCACATTCCACCGCCACACACCTCACTGTGGACACACTTGACACCTCTTCCACCACCCGCGTCTACAACGGACGCCGTCGCCGACACAAGCCGGCGCAACGCACTCTGTGGCTTGACGACATCCCCGAAATCATCCAAGCTACCCTTGACATGCAGATCTTTTCTGTCGGCTTCCGTTCCTTCAGGCAAACACGCGGGGCCCCGATGGGATCCCCCGCATCCCCTGCTTTATGCCTGATGGTAATTGCGCTTGCCGAGCAAATTTGGGCCAACACCCATCCTACTTCGGGACCTTGCTCCTTTGAGGACAGACAACAGGCTCGTGGTCGCAACTCCTAGATGGCTTTCGACCCCGGCAGCCCACATCCTGTGCGACGAACACTTCTACGGAGGAGACATCATTTTGGAGACAGAAGGCACCATCTCCTTCATCCCCTCGTATGCAACATGCTCTCCATCAAATCGGCCGCGCCAAATGCACAAGGAATCTGGATATTACTCCAGACGCACGCTGATCAGCCGGGTTTCCTTTCCTGAGTTTCAGCGAGATCACGATCTCACATTGTTGAAGAAGTTATACCACCAACACGGTTTCACCTTGCAGGAAGAAGAAAAAACGTACCGGCCTTCCTCTGCCACTATTTGAGATTGCACCCACTTTTTCACTCTTTGCCCACCGGCAGATCCCCACATGACCTGTTTTCACACCGCAGCTGTTTGACATAAAACCTTTTGCGATTATGGATCCTGACACAGCACGCCAGCTGCTTGACGATTTTGAACTCATCATCGGCATTGCCCAGCAAGGCTTCGCCACCATTCGCGAGTTCGCTGAGGGTCCGGATTTTGCACCGGAAGCTCCACTCATTCTCACCGTAGAGGACATGGCCATTTCACCACCTACACCTCCCCTGACCCCCCCAATGATCTCAATGAACCACTTCCTGAAGATCCTGGCAAACAACTTCTCGCAGATCATGATGAACAACTTCCTGATCATTGGACTCCACCCACTCCACCCTCTCCTCCTGACAAAAAACGAGCTCGTCGCACACGCGACAAGACCTCCTCACGCTCTACGGCATCCAAACCTACCCGTGGACAACGCGAAGCTACCCCATCGACCAGGACTGATGCCGCTGCTGAGGCTGATCCCGAAGCCCCGCAACCTTGGACTGAGGAGGAGATTGATCTCCTCCGTTCGCTTAAGATCAACACCAAGGCCAAGCATGCATGGTCTGTCATCGCCACGAGACTTTCCCGCACAGTCGAAGACTGCAAGACTCAATGGGCCTTGCGCAAGTGAGCTCGCCCCGCTCGGGGCCTTGTGTGTGTGAACCGTCCTGGAACACGGACGTTAAACCCTTCGGAATTTTTCCTGAGCAGGGGGACACAGCGCTTCACTGGGACTGTGTCCAACGAAGCTACCAGTGAAGTGGGATATCCAGCTTGGCCAGGTGGACGGCAATCTCTCTTTCCTGATTCTTTTTGCGGTTCCTGTTTGTCGCTGTTGCTTCCTGTTCGGTGTCGATGTTGTGACCTGTTGCTTTGCATTTGCATTCAAGCATTTTTACTGACTGCGGTTTTCATCTCGGCTAGTGAAGCCTCTCGAGATAAGTGTGTGTGTGTGTGTGTGTGTGTGTGTGTAATTTGTTTCTTCCCTATTTGTTGACAGTTTGCAGGTTGGTTTGTGTGGCAATTGGTTGCGGCGATGTAAGTGTGGTGCTTTTTGATTGCTGCTGGGATGTATGTTTGCGTGGGCATATCTGGCTTTTGCATTGTTGGCGTCATTTGCTGGAACAGCAGATGGTTCAGGTAGATCCAGGGTTTGCGGATACTCAGGCTGCCTTTATGTTTTTCTTGAATGCGCTGTACATGTTTTTTTGCGTGGCCATACTCTGGCTTTGGTGTTGTTTAGGTAGATCCTGGGGTTTGCGGATGCTCAGGCTGCCTTTATGTTTTTTAGTGAATGCGCTGTACATGTTTGTTGCGTGGACATACCCTGGCTTTGTTCCAGCTGTGTTCAGATAGATCCTGGGGTCTGCGGATGCTCAGGCTGCCTTTATATTGTTGAGGAAATGCATTATACATATTTGTTTGCGTGGCCATGCGTTGGTGCAGTAGATGCTTAGGGTTTCTTTTCCCTTGTGTTTAGGGCATGTTGTGAATCGAACTACGCGTTGGCCGTTTTGCTCCTGGCCTTGACCCAAACCTGCGGTTTCATTTGAAACGGGAAACGCCGCCATGGACGCCTTGCTGTGTTTTGGAGTGTGCCTCGCCATTGACACAGCCCTTGTGTCCGGCTTGACCTGCCTTGCCATCTTGCCAAAGCGCAAGGTGTTTCATCATCGGCATTGCCACCACTTGGCACAGCGCGATGTCTCAGCCTTCGCATTTCAACCATGTGATAACTGTCGCAGCCTGTGGTGATGCACGTGTAGTGGCAGACGCCCTGCCCTTGTGACAGCCTTGCCTTCAACACCACATGCTAATGTATAAAAATGCCGCGACATCGCAGTTGGATCTTGAGCCCACTACATTGCACTTTGCCTCAATGCACTTGACGGGCAACCTCGCCTGCAGCATTCGTGAGCCTTTTCAAGCATGTGTTGCAGTGTACGCCTGTCTCTCCGCTACGGTCTTAGTTGTTGACTCTTGAGTTCGCCCTAGAACTGCACCCTGCCATGGGTTGCTGCCATGACACCAGTGTTCAGGTATGTTAAAGCTCCTCCGGGACCTTCACAAGACGCACTGACTTCAGTCAGGACCCCAGTCATGCATTCTTGAGTCCGCTCTTGAATCGCATCCGTCCGGGCTTGTTGCCTTGCGCCGCGAATGACCTCAGTCATGCATTCTTGAGTCCGCTCTTGAATCGCAGCCCTCCGATCTTGCTGCCTTGCGCCGCAAGCCCTTGGCAATTGAAGCTCCTCCGGGACCTCCGCAAGGCGCAATGCCTTCAATCATGACTGCAGTCATGCATTCTTGAGTCCGCTCTTGAATGGCATTCCGGGGTTGCTGCCTTGCGCCGCGAGCCCTTGGCAATTGAGTACACAGACGCATTGCCTTCAGTCATGACCGCAGTCATGCATTCTTGAGTCCGCTCTTGAATCGCAACCCTCCGGGGTTGCTGCCTTGGCACAGCGTGCCTTGGCCATCGAGGCTCCTCCGGGACCCCCACAAGGCGCAATGCCTTCAGTCATGACCTCAGTCATGCATTCTTGAGTCCGCTTGAATCGCAGCCCGCCGGGGCTGCAGCCTTAGCACAGCGTGCCTTGGCATTTGAGGCTCCTAAGGGACCTCACCAAGCCCTGCGATCAGGCTTATCCGTCATGACCCCGGTCATGCATTCTTGAGTCCGCTTTGGAATGGCTTCCCTCCAAGGTTGCTGCCTTGCGCCGCGAGCCCTTGGCAACTAAGGTTCCTCCGGGACCTTTACAAGCCCTGCTCTCCAGGCCCTAAATTTTTTACACCGTGCATGGTACTGTGTTTGCATTCACACTTGGCCATCAGTCGAATGTTGCTTTGCATCTATTGCATAGCGCTTGTTCACTCTCCGACCCAACGCCTTGCCTTTTGTGCCATGGAGTGTGACGGAGACACCTTAGACGCCATCCACACCACACTAGCCAGAAGCTACTTGGACCTTGAGGTCATGCTGGACGAGTTCTACACAGTCCTTCTGCGCATTAAGCTCTTCTGCCATGTCATCGCCGTTTGCCTTGTTGCCCTCACCCTGATCGAGGGCATTCGTGCATTGTCGTGCCTTGTGGAGTCTGTACAGCGCTGGGCGGCCTTTGCATACCACGCCCTCACATGATGGGGCACCACTCTTTGCCGAGAAAAACACAGTGTGCCTGCTACACATGTAAATGCTTATGCTTGTCAACATCTGGGCCAACACTGTGAGACATTTCCGCCAGGTCGGCGCAACAGGCCGGGAAC